ATAATTTAAAATAAATCACATTGATAAATAATCATAAAATACATTTAAAAAAATCTTACGTATATAAAAATGTTGTTTTTAAATATTGTAGATTCGAAGAAAAGAAATGAAGCTTTTCAAGAACTTGAAAGATTAAAAAAAAGTATATACCAAAATTCACTCAATGAAAATCTTGGATATGATGACTCACAGTATGACTTGGGTAATTTATACCAACCTATTATTGATAGTCAATCTGGAATAAAAGAAAACTTAGCTAAATTAAAAAATAAAGCTAATCATTTAGCTCTCACCCTATCAAATTATCCTGCAATAATGGGTATACCTGAAACTAAAAAAATAACGAGTAAAGATATTAAATCTGATATGAAACCTGATAGTAAAATACTTTCATAAGGAACTATAGCAACAAATTATCTGCAGTCAGCATATAGTAATAAAAAGGCAGCAGATACTACATTCGGTATACACTCAAAAGATAGAAAATTGTATATAGGAAAAAAACCAATATTAATTAATAATAATGATATAACTGTTGATGACAAAAAATATATTGGAACTACTGGTCTTTTGGAATTGTTAACAAAAGCTATTCCTGATAAAAATATATATAATGAAGATGATCTTGAAAATTATAAAAATATATTAAAAGAAACAGATGCTATTTCTTCTAGTAAATATCCAGGAAAACCTAGATCATCTAGAAGTGAAAAATATAAAGAGATAATAAAACCCATTTGGAAAGAGATAACTGGAAAATCTGGAAAAGGAGTCATCTATCTTCCTAGAGATCTACAAAATATGTACATGTACTTCTGATTTACATGCATAATAAATAGTTACAGTATAAGTTGTAGCTTTATTTTTCATAAGGGTCAATAGCTGTAATGAACCTTTAGTTATTTAAACTCCTGGTACCATGACCTACACATTAGACAGAGATCTTGTTTGTGTCTTATGTCAAAGAAAAGTAATTATAAGAATTTAAAATAGTATTAATAGTATGTGTTGAAGATAAGTATTTTAAACTTCCTTTGCGCTGCATATTACACATCATTAAAATATTACACATAAAAGTATAATACTTTATTGATGTGAAACAAAATAAAGCTTTCATATTTTTATAACTTTTTACTTCATTTACTTATTTCCTATATTTTTTCTCAACTATATGTATATGTTACAAGAGTAACTCTTAGTGGAGAGTATTGTTTTACTTTATCTAAGGATAATTATTTACAACATAAACTGATAAAATGAGCAAAGAGAGAATGTTAGATAATTTAAAATTAATTATAAAAAACTATAGAATGAGTTTACTACTTAACAAATTTATCTTAAAAAAAAAAAATTTCAAATTTATAGTTTTTTTTACTTTTTTTTATATACTTTTATTTTCAAAATCAAAATTGAAGAAAGACTTTTTTTAAATGCTTATTTAAATGCCGTTATGGAACAGTTCAATTGCGCTTTAATAATACAATTAAGAAGAACACTTATTCTAAGTTTATTCATTCTTCACTGCTCCACTACCACTTTTTGTAGTTATAACCATTATACTGTTTAATATCACAATAAAGATCAGGTCTAAATAAAAACTTATCAAGTACAAAAACAAATATCATCTTGTTTTGCTTTTTACAGTTTATCATTTCATCACAACCTAGATTCTTTATTGAAACCTTTTTATTTACTATAAATAAAAAGGTTTCAATTTTACTATAAATAAACGTAGCCACTATTAATAGTGACTTTTATTTTTAGATACACTATCAACTCGTCGCCTTAGAGGGCAGAGGTTCTATCTCCATTTTGGGTAGTTTTGCAGGAGAACAAAAACAAAGTTTGAGCATTAAGCATAAATCAGCAATTTCATTTTTTGTTAGTGTTAATATTTTTTGATCAATTAGAACTATCAAACATGATAGGAATAATTCAACTTTTTTGAAATTATTAACATTGAAGAGAGTATGGCACAAATTATAAAAGTCATCATGGAGATAGAACCTTTGCCTAAATTAATTGCTGCCCTAAATTAAAAAAAAAGTTGAATGGAACTTTTGAAATTTATAAACATAATGAATCCAATTAAAATTCTTTTTTAATTAATACAAAATGCTTTTTATGATTGTGTAAACTATCAGATAATGACAATCATGGTTCAAACTTTTTAAAATTAGTAACATTTTGGGACAAATTTTACAATTACCATGGAGATAGAACCTTTACTCAAATTAACTGTGAATTGAACAGAATTTAAAAATTTGTAAACAATGTTTTTGTAATCAATATTATTAAATTCTAAGTGAAATCTTAATCATAATTAGCAGAAAAATCAGAAAATTGTTATAATAGCAAAATTATATAACAGAATAATTATTATAGTAATACTGAAAAAAATGACTGACAAAAAACAAAGTCTTAGTTCTAGTTATCTTCATAGTCCGAGTAAAGAACAAAAATTGTTATAATAGTAAAATTTAACAGAATAATTACTATAGTAATATTGATAAAAATGACTGACAGAAAACTAAGTCTTAGTGCTACTTGTCTTCATAGTCCGAGTTAAGAACAAAAATTGTTTTAATAGCAAAATTATATAACAGAATAATAATAGTAATACTGAAAAAAATGACTGACAGAAAACTAAGTCTTAGTTCTAGTTGTCTTCATAGTCCGATTCATCAATTTCTGACTCATCAGCAGTTGGTTCTGGTAAACTGTCTCTCATGGCTACTGCAGACGGTAGGTTGTTATACCATTGGGCATAATCTGGTGGAATAACACGCGATTTCACCACGCGCATGAGATCTTTTTTTTTCGCATCCCAAATAGGCAGGCGAGTAGGATACAATGGCCGAGGCTCTAATCCTTTGATGTTGGATCGTCGTCCTCTTCCAGACTGTACATTTATTTCCATAAAGGTAGGCGACGTAATGCTATATTTGTACTGCATAATGAACGGTCTTGACTTTTCAAACCTTGCCCACTTAATATTCAACCAGTTGATGGTTTCACCTTTAATATTTTTTGTACAATTTTTCACAATTTTACCGCAAAGTTGTTTTGAGTCAAAAAAATCGGTGTGTTGCAGTGGTTTAACAAGATATGGATACGGATTCTTGCGCGCTGCAGCAATCAGAACTTCGTATTCTCGTGTAGTGTAAATTTTTTGATGGCTCTTACTGCATTCAATAGTACTGTGCATAGAGTCAACTTCTAAATAAGAATGACCCGAGTCCATATACTTCATATCGATGCATTCCAGGTGAGTTGTTTGAACAATGTACATCATTGTCGCAACAATAAATTGGTTTCTATTTTGTCCAGAGCACGTATCACTAAAAGAAGTCACTCTCTTCACAGAAACTGGAAGAGACTTCATATAATCTAACAGAGCTGTATTTATTTCATTGGCTCCTCGTTTACCTTCACTTTCATCCCATAGGTAACAAATTCCTTTTTTGGTCGACGTTTCATAAATAGTAAAATTATAAACGGCAAGTTTCCGCATATAAAAAATTTGTGCATCACCTGCAAATGGAAGTGGTAACACTGCTTCGAGGTCAAAAGTTATAGAACGAATGGACTTGTCAGCAGCAGATGCAGTCTTATCAGAATTTTTTTCGTCCATAGCTTCCTTTTCACGAAATTTATGACTGTCATAATTTGGTCGTAGCGTTTCTTTATCATCACCACTGGCATCTCGAAAAGCATTGCAAATCGAGCATTGGTCTTTTTTGGGAATAAAAAGTTTTATATTAAAATCAGTAACAAATATTCTTCGATATACACCGATAGAAACTGGATCTGTGATATTTTTCGTTGTGCAATAATCATCTTTGTATAGTCTATAAAGTTCCTTAATACTTAGTTCAGGACTAAGATATTTTGCCTTTGATGAAGCCCGACAGTAGTGAGATTCGACCTGAGGAAAGCTTAGGATATGCTCTCGAACTGCATTGGTTCGCATTTCTGAAGTCTTATTGGCTGGAGTTTTTCCTTTTTTTGAATTTGGTGGTATGAAAAGACCAATCTCATTTTTATTTTTTACAACAAACTGAACAGTTTTCTTGCTTATGTCCAAAGTCGTGCAAAAAAATTTTTGGCACACTCTAATGACAATGTTTTCATTTGCTTCCACTGGCAGATGATATGCACAGGATATTGTTTTTGGTCTTATTCCTGAATTGTCACGACGACGTGAAACATTGCTACTTTTCACTAAATGGTATATGAAATCTTTTTTTCTCTTTTCACCCTCTAGTTGGTAGTAGTGTTTATTTATTTCTAGTCGTTTGGTTTCCTCAAAATGTTCTCCACACTTGAATTTGCACTTTAAACAGTTCACCATTCTAGGTGTTTTGGGCGGTACTGCTTTACCTTTTCATGGCTTGTATGCCATTCCTTTCTCTCTTTTGTCTTTTTCAACAAATCGTTTCCAAAGATTTGGTCTTTTGCCTTGTTTGAGTCCAATTTTTGGTTCAGTGAAAGTTCGTTTTTTTGAACCATTGTTTAATTCCATGGTGAATTCTTAGAATTACGAAAAAAACTATTTAAAATTACCTCTGTTTTAATAAAAAGTTGTTTATTCATTATATTTCGTTTGTTATCGTCTGCCATTTTCAAGAATTACAACAAAGGGCAAAGAAGATATCTCCGGTATAGCCAGATGGCAAAGGAGATAACACCTTTGCCCTTTTGGGATTCCGCACAAATGTAGATAGCTCAAAACTTGCACAAATTTATTGCTCTTCTCCTACTATGTGGAGATTGACCTGCTGCCTAATCTGATTCTAGCACTTATAATAGATGTCCCCAAAGTCATAGTTGAATTTGAGCACAACATGGAGATAGAACCTCTGCCCTCTAAGGCAATGAACTATTCATTAAATTCAGTTCAAATTTAAAATACAAAACGAAGTCTAGAATACTTTTTAAAATTTAGGTGACATCTTTTAGACAGCAACAAGCAGAATTGTTAAAAAAAAACAACTTACAAATAAGCCACAAGTAAACTTTTGTGATTAGAACAATCTTGATTTTTTTCAAAATCTTTAACATCACAATTAACCTATAATAAAAAAATAAAAGATGATAAAGAATGTAAAATATATAATATATAGTAATTATCATTAAATTATAATAAATTTATAATTTTCATAAAACTATAATAAAATTGCTAAAAATATTGATGTTCAATTATATCTGGACTGTCAAAACCAAGTTGACACTACAACTACAATAAGAACTGATGGGTTTTGGTAAAAGAAAATAATAGAAACTACTTTTAAGACTAAAATTAACAAACAACCCGAAATCCTGAAAACTTGTTTAAAAAGAAAAAATCAGGAATAACTGATCTAAGAAAGTACCTTTTTTTTCAATTTTGAGCAAATATTACTTAAATTAATATTAATATAAATACTACAAATATTTGTCATAAAAGTACGCAAACAAGCTAATGTCATGCCTGTGTCATTTCTTTATAAAAATAAAAAAAATAAAAAAATAAAATTATGCATTATTGTTTTCCCATGTAAAACATTAGCTTGCTTTTTAAATTTTGATATCACTGTATTAAGCAACCCAACAACTTTTAAAGTGAACAATTATGTTAAAGAAATGAAGTCAAAGAAAAATAAAGACTTTTAATAATATAAAGAACTTCATCAAAACTTTTTAAATTTATAATTGTCTTTTTATGCTAAACTTTGAGAAGAAATAATAACTATTATACATTATTACTATACATATACTATAACTATCAAAATAAACAATAACAAATTATTAACAAATGGCTTTAAAATCATACTACAAGAATCTAATTTTTGTATGCAACCTAAAAAATGTAAGTGACAAAGTTATGAACTTTTTGTAAGTGACAGTGGTATATTGCTAAAATAATAAGTACTGGAATGTGTTAGGTTATATCACTTGCTCCTTTTCTTTCCTTTTAAAGATTTTTTAAATTTTCTAAACATAAAATTGTGCAGCAAATCCATTTATCTACTTGTACAATAGTCCTAATTTGTTGGCCACCAAACATCATATTGGCCACCTTACGAACATTAAATATTTGTACAATTTTTTTAAATTTCATTTTCTGTTACCCATGCATTTCTCTAAATCTCTTTGGCTTTTAGCAAATAGAATATAAATGGAGAAGGGTTTATTTACATTTATTTGAAAATGATTAACTCCATATAACAATCCATTAACTATAGTTGTCAATAGGAGATACAATTGCATCTCCTATTGATAACTCTCAGCAATGTTTCAAACCACGTCAAATAAATTAAATTAAAACATTTTTCCAACAACACACATTTTTGCCCTAGCATATCACTAGCATGTGTTCCTTCCCAAATAGACTACTGGTAAGAGAGCAAATATATAATGCACAAAATAAGTACTATACTCTCTTGTGATATCTTGAATAACCTGAAAATCCTATTCAAATATAGTATAAAAAAACTTTAGAAAAAATCCTAAAAAAACAACAAAACTAATGTAAATGATGCTTTGAGTACAAAAACAAAAAATTAAAAGTTAAAAACTTTTAATTTTTAAAATAAAAAGAATTTTAGGAAATAAAATAAATTAAATTTGGTTTTGATAAGCTGCTCAATAAAACATAAAGAAATTATCAACATGAACCATTTACACCATAGTTACTTCTTTTCTCACCAATAATTGTAGAGTAGGTTACATACATCATGAGGAAACAAAAATGGAAAACACAATATTACTAAAACCACTCTTTTTTTTAAATCATAATGAAAACAAACTACAATGGTGACAAAATACATGACAAATGGTCTATTTTCTAAAATGGTATTTATTAAAATTTTTCACACTCACCAAACTGAAAATACCAAAAAACTTGTGACATAATAACCTCGAGTAGTCTGGTACTACTAGATAAGTAGACTTATTTATAATTTTTTGATACTTTCTGATACTATTCTTACTTTATAATGGCACATTAAAAACAACATACTTACAAATCCTAACTTTATATAAGGAACTATTGATTCTTCGTCCCAGTTATAAGATACTGTATTCATGGTTTGTAGCATGATACCTATAAAAATTAATAAACCAATTAAGAATACACCAATAAGCAAATTTGCCAAAACTTATTCAGTCTTTTATAGTTGACTAATTACAAATTAATTAGCCTTTAACAACTACTTTTGATAACAAATTTTTTAACCAATTGTAATCAAAAATAATTATTAACCAATTAAAATACATTGACTACAAATTATTTAACAAATTGTTTTTTTAAAAAAGGTTTTTTTTTACATTAAAAATTATTTAACAACAAAATTTAATTCATTTTTTTCAAAAACATAAATTACAGCAATCATTATGGCAACAAGTTTTAGCTGAAAGCGTTTTAATGTCAATCCTAGGGATAATTCTAATTGTGTGTAAACTATGTTAAGTCATCTTATCAAAATGTGAAAAATCAAGAAATATTTTGACATATAATGAATATTAAAATTATTTAGAGATGCAAAAGCTGAACATAACAAGCTCAAAAAGAGACATAATGAATGTTCAACTTTACATCCAGCAAAATCCTAATATACTTTACTATGTAAAATTACTAATATACTTTACTACGCAAAAAATTACTACTTCTACAATTATTGCTTAAACTATAGAATATTTGGCCTTAATATTCTATAGTTTGAGATCATAGGTCTTAAAACACCGTTATTTTATAGAATACATGTTGGTATATGATCATATACTACAACAACTAGTATTATTATTTATTAAAAATTGTGTCCAAATTACAGAATCCTATCAAAACTATATTCCGCTGAAGAAAAAAATATGCAGATATGTTTACAGAAACAAAAAAAAACATTTGAACATAAAAATAATGATAAAATAAGTAGGATTTCTTTTGATTACCTACTTGATTACACAACAATTTAACTATCCAATGACTAGAACAACTAAAACTTTTATTCATCTAGTTTTTTTCCCCGCACTTCAATCCTTTGGAACTCTTTCCCATCTTCATGTTTTCTCATACAACCTTCAACTTTTCAAGTCTTCTGTCAACCGTTTCCTTGCTCTATAACTCTGTTCTTTTTTTTTCCTAGTAACTTCCAACTTAATAGTGGTTGCTTGCAGCCTTGTTGGGAGTGAATGCAAATAAAAAAAAAAAAAAACACTGCTCAGTGCTTAGAGTTGTTCTATTCTCTTGTGTAGATCTTAGGTAAGTTGTTAAGAAAAATGATTTTACTAAAATCAATTTATCTTAACAACTAAAATCTATAGCATTTAGAGTAAAACAAATTTTACTCAAAATGCTATAGATTTGAGCTTTAAAATCTTTACAACTTGATGTGATGGTAATGAGTTGCATATTTAAAATCAAAATGAGAAAGGCTATACAAAAAATGTATTTTTTTGCTTGGTAGCAGAGAAAATTTTTTTTTTGTTGACCTGTGTAACAAACTAATTAGCCAACCAAAAAACTGATTACAGATTAAATGGAAAAGCAGCTGAAATAAGCTGATTCTGTTGAATAATATGAAACAATAAGTTAGTTAAACTGATTCCGAATGAAAAAAATGTTTTAATATCATAGATTTTTTTTTTTAACAGGTTCTAATTTTTCAAATATTTTTTGTATATTCAAAAATGTAATTCAAAACAGATTTTGAGCATATAAATTTAAAAAAACTATATATTGTTAAAAAAATATATTAATAATAAATAAAATTAACTAATATTGATTAGAAAAAAGTGTCAAGCAAAGAAATTTCAAAAATTAAAAAAAAAAACTCAATTTATACTCAAACCTGGTTGCTCATGAAAGTAGTAAATTAGTTGTGGAAACTTTTGTTTTCTAAAGCTCAAAAATTCATCACTTGTGGATATTTCAACCACTTTACAATAACAGCAAACACCAACATTGAGTATTATTAATGTAAAGATACTGATTTTCATTTCTTGTAACGAAACTGTAATGCAAAGTTTATGTAATTTATTGAAAATTTAAATTGCAAAAAAAAAAAATAGTACTATTTTTCAAACTAAAAAAGTCAGTGGGAATGAGGTAAACCAAATCTGATTTATAATAATTTTTAAGTAGAGACTTAGGGATTTGAAAATCTTCCTGTTTACGAACATTTTTACATTGTTTCTGAGTTTATCTTACTATAACTTAAAGTATACCACTTAGCATATACTTATAATTGAACTTATAACTAATTTAGTATGTCTAATAAAAAATTTGTGTTCTTATAGTATAGGTACAAATACTTATATCTATAAAATATTGGTCGCCTTGTACTATAACTCTTTGATTAATAATTTTTTATGTTTAGTTAATAATTTTATTTAATAATTTTATTTAATTATTTGATTTCAACGAAATCTCCTACATATTAATGAGTATGTAGATCACCTAATTTATTGATTAATTTAGCTTGGTGATTGTTATGTAATTGATCAAGTGATGTAAATTACATCACATTTTGTGATAAACATCGCATTGAAATAAAATGTGATTAAAAATAGATTTTTTACTGATGAGGACGAAAAATAATTATCTGGACTATGGTTCAATATTATTCCTTCATCTGTAGCATAGCGACGCTAAAAAAACTTTTTTGTTTCATTTCAAAGGGTTTCGCTAACAATAATTCGCTAGCAATTAAGAGAAAAACATGCTCCGCCATAAAGCAAACAAGCGTGCGGGTGGAAAACTAAATTTGATCAAACACGGAGGAGGAAAAACCATCATATTACATTAGTATTTACAGTGACTTTACTTAAGTATACATCTTCTGTTCGAGATGTTCTAGCTATCATATGGACTAAATTTATTAAGCAGAAAAAAATAATAATAATAATATAAATAAAATTAATAATAAGAAAAACAAAATATCAAAATGAATGTAGTTGTTTAATTTAAATGGCACCAAAAATGTCTAGCTTGGCGATTAGTCGATTGTTTCCATCATTTCGTAAAAGAGCAGTGTATGGACTAAAAAGTAACTGTGCAGCGGATCTAGAACATTTTTTTTGTTAATATTATTTTTTTTTTTTGTATGTTTAATAATTTCGCCCAATCGAAAGTTAGTGATCTAATCTTGTAAAATAGGCCACCTATTTAACATTTGGCAAAAGAACACTTTATGGACTAAAAAGGAACTGTGAAGGGGATGCAGAACATTTTTTCTGTTCACACATTTTATCCGTTTTTAGCAACCAAATCGATTGCTTTCATCGTCTGATAAAAGTACAAATTTTTGCAGTGAAAAAGAAACTCTGGATTGAATTTAAAACTTTTTGTCTGTTCACACGTTTCCACAATATGAAAGCTAGCGGTTTCTTTATTCACCTGTAAAAAGAACGCATTTTGATCTGAAAAAAAAACTCTGGATTGAATCTTTTAAACTATTTGTCCATTCACACATTTTACCCACCTGACAGCTAGTGATTTTTTTTTTTTTGTACGTATTTAGGTGCTCCCAGAAGTCCTTACGGTCTTATCATAGAGCACCGCGGGAGGACATTTAACAGGAAGTTCATGCCTCCTTTCGTACCTATGTGATCTAATTATACTATTTTGTTGATTGTCTTGTGGAATACTCCTCTATGCACTAAAAAATAACCCTGCAGCGGAACCGGGACTATTTTTTCTGCTCAACAGCTGGTGGTCTAGCTGGTGGCTTTAATCATCTGAAAAAAGAGTCAAAGAACCGATCTTAAGCAGTTACAACTATTCTTTATTACTTATTTTCGAGATAGACACGATTAAAGCTATACTGTACACTGAAATTTTGGCATGATTTTAAACTACGACTTAAGCAGATAAGAACAAAAAAAAAGAAAACTTATTAGGAAAACAAACAAACAAACAAAAAAATCGCTTGTTTTCTGCAAAAACGACAGATGATGTTAGCGCGACGCATTTTAATATTGCAAAAGGCGCAGAAATTAAAAATTTCATAAAACGAAAAAACAAACGTTGTAAGTTACCCAGAGGCGGATCAGTGGTTTTTAATCGATTGAAATGAAATAGGAATGCATCAAAGAAGGAATCAATAAAAGATGTATCGCAAAAGACAACACGCGCCCAAAAGAATGAAAATGAGCAATTCGAAATAAAAACATAAAAAACATCTGTGTATTATTATTTTCATTGATAGACGTTAGTATGTAAAAAATGTACACGTTCGGGGTAAAAAAACAAAGGCCTCATGTTTAAATCTGTCAACGGAAAAAAGCACTCGTTTAAGAATCAGTAAGTAATTAAAAAAGAAACCCTACCACAAGCTCCAACCCCAAAAGACTCTGTAGTAGAATTTCATACGAAAT